GGTGGCAAACTTCCTGAAGGCTCCAATAATGTGGTCCTGGACAGCAAACCTGGAAACATCATGTCATTATGTATTTGTGATGGGAAAGCAACATTGATGAAACTGAGAGTGGAACATGAACAAAAGGTTGTTTTTCTTTATATTTGTTTGAAATCTTACTCACTTGTCTACTGAGAGGTTTTCCTGCCCCATCATGAACTGCAGGTTGTCGATGATGACGTGGTTGATATCATACAGGTAGACGCTATGTTGCATTGTGTCCAGCACCGCCCTATTGAAAATCCGTCCATTAATTGTACAGTCAGTAAAAATAATGCATGGTCTTCAAATATCTGTTTCTGTCAAACTAACAAAACCCAAAATAATAAACTGAAAATTGGCTCTTTTTTGGGGGCGACATCATGAAAAACCAATGTGGTTCGGTAAACATGGGATTCAACAAGCCTTTCAGATCTGGCTCCCCTTTCTATGTAACTTGTTAGAATTGACCACCACCGATGGCTTTTTCAGAAAAGGGATTCAAAGAGACAGCTGCTCAAAATTAAAGCATGTTAACAGGTTCTAGTAGAGACTCAATTTACATGTATAGCCTTAAAATTGAGCACGATATGTCCTCTTTAAAAGGGCTTAACCAATGAGGTCAGTTTGTTTTCTGACTTATCCTTTTGGCACTATATCAAAGAATTAAAGCAAGTTAAAAGCAAACACTGGCATATTCCTACAGCTACTGTTGACAAAATCCAGTTTAATGAATTGATTGTATGGTCTTGGCTAAAGCACTAGGAAAAGTAGCATGGGATGCCTACTGGGATTTAGAAGGACATATTCATTGAAACGCTTACTTGATGTTCTGCTGCCCGTGGAAAGTCATAAAGTAGAGAGACAGCTCTTCGAACTTGTCTGCCCAGAAGTCGTACTGCTCCAGGTTGTTCTCCAGCCTCTGCATGGCAAACTGAGTGAGCATGACCTTGGCCAGACGCACGTTGTTGATCTCAAAGCTGCCCCACAGCGTGTTGACGCCCTGCATGCAGAGGTCCAGAGCAACCTCGCTGATAAAGGTGGTCTTCCCACTGCCAGTGGGACCTGGTTATAAAAACAAACATATATATTAAGACCAATGGATACATTTTAGTTTCATTTTTTCAGAAGGTCGGTTGTAGAGCGCCCTTTGCTACCTTTGGAGCTGTTTTAAATGAAAATGTCTAAAAATGCTGTTTTTAAATCATACCAAATTTGGAGAACTCCTTCTTTTTTCAGTTTTATATCTTATTTAACTGACTATCTTTGGGTCGTGGACTGACAAAACAAGACATTTTTAACATCAACTTGGCATTTGAGAACCTGGGATATACATTTATTTGCCATTTTGTGAAATTGTTTAGACAACATTAATCAAGAAAATAATCAGGAGATATTCAATAATAACAACTATGGTTTTGTGGGCTAGAAAACCAAAATAATGTGCCGAAAGATGCAACGACCCTTTTGGGCCTAGGGGAAGTGTAGAGTTGGTTGATCATTTAGCATTGTATTAGAATTAAACAACAACCAAGACTATACTATGAACTGTGATTCAAAACTTGGTCTTTAAGGCGAGACACCCCAGGTGAATAGGGTAATTTTTTTAACTTAAAGGTATCAGCTAGAAATTTCTCCAGTTAATTACTTACAATAAGGCAATTTTCTTTTGTATTACAAGTTTTCTGAAATAGCATGTTTAAATATGCAAATTATCCATTATCTCATTAAATATGCACAGATTAACACATTTCAGGAATCAAAATCTGAACTTTGGATATAGCCAGGTTCAAAATTCTTGTTTCATTTTGTAGTCATATTAGCATCTAAGGCTTTTACAGAAGGGATATTGGATATCTCTTTTTATCACTCCGGGTAGGTATATAATGTTGTATAATTCAGGCTATGAATGATATATGAACAAACCCTTCTGTAAAAGCCTTCATAATATTGATAGGAATATAACTGGAAGGTTTGGTGTATCTACGTGCTACTGAAGTTGAAATTTCGAACTCAGAGTAGGAGAAAAAACTCATTTTGAGAAAACGACCTTTAAAGATTGCAGTGAGGCAGGCGCTAGCTAAACCCTCCTGTTCTTTTTATAACCTTGCTTCGTGCAAGTGACAATTGTTGTCGTCTTCTCTGTGAACGTTTTTTTCGCCGTTCTTTTGCCATTTTGAGATTTCAATTTCTAGCTGAAAGCTAACCAGGAAGTGTTTTAGCACACCACGTGACGCATCTGAACGAATCACGTTGTCAGAAATTGACACCAGCCAATGAGATTTCGTTTCTTGGTTTAAGACCCCTTTGTGCTTTCACGATTGGTTACTGATACAAAGGAAATGACCATATTTGGATCCGATGAGATTGTGCAGGAGAGACACAGCTTTCCAGCGATACCTCTGTTGACATGGTGCACACAGCGGTCGCGGTACTTTATGTTACGTTAGAATGCTAACTTTTGGTGAATTTAGGAGAAATCTACAGACGCAAATAGACAAACTATAGTAAAATAAACACTTAAATGTGTATTTTGTACGTTTTCCTTCCAAAAGCCTGAAAGAAAACATGTTATAGAATCAAAATAGCACAAAATCTCAAAATTGACCAGTACTACGATGTTTTTGCCTGGTCTCGCCTTAAGCATCATGGTTCTTCATACCTGTGAAAACAGTCAGCTCCCCCTTGCGGTGTCCCTTCAGGATCCTGTTGAGCTCGGGAAACCTGGCCCACTTCACTCCGGCCACCTGCTCTGTGTTCGACAGCTCCCCGTACACGTCCTCTCTGAGCTGCTTGAAGGACACGATGGACTTATGTGCTGCTGGGATGGAGGATTTGATGATGTGTCCCAGGTTCTTCCCCTGAGCCAGCGCCTCCATAGGACAGGGTCTGTACTCCCCGGGCCGCACCAGCGAGCAGCGCCTCAGACCCAGCTTACGAGAGAAGATCTTCGACGCCTCCCAGGAGAGAATGTCGTCTCCCAGCCACAGCGTCACTTTCTTGAACTGTTCCAGGTAAGGCAGCAGGATGGGTGGGAGGCAGCTGACCCCCCGTGGAAGAGCCACACTGGGGAGTCCTGTGGCCTGGCTCACAGCGAGTGTGTCCAGCTCAGAACCGGTGAGCACCACCTCCACGTCCATACGGCCCACCAGGGGGAGGCCGAACAGGCTGTGGAAAGAATTACACTTTGGGACTGTGGCTTCTTTATAAATGACTTTGTTATTGTCTGTGCTTTGGGCGGAGAGGAGCTTCACGCCCTTCAGGGAGGAGTCGGGGCCCCCAAACCAGGGGAAAACCAGACTCTTGGTGGGTTTAAAGAGTCTCACGCCAAACTTCTTGAGTGTTGCATTGGAGACCTTTGAGATCTGAAACAAAGCATTAGTAAAGCCTATTATCCTGTGAGGAAAATTATCGACATGTTACAATATTTTCGGCACTTGTGGGTTATCTGTCGCCCCTTTTTAATAGCAGGTAGCTGGTTCCTCCACATTAACTTTTTCAATTCTCAAAATAAAAAACATTAATCCTAGGGGTTAGGTTTATTTAGAGTCTGAAAAAAAAAAAAAAGTGCGTATTTAGAGAGTATGAAAAAAACAAATAAAGTGGCGACAGATAACCCACAAGTACCTATTTATCACCTTTATCTCCGATACACATCTGCTTACATGTACTATAGGCCTATTGTGTAGAATAACGAAACAAATGTCCTGCCTTGCCTTGTATTTTTTGATGTGATGGTGTCTGGCAAGTGGGTTTTCCCTATTATAATTTGTATAAAAAGAAAATCCTTAATATGTCATGAAAAAAACTCATGAAATGACACTCAGAAATACCTGGAACATGGTTTTAACCAGCAGAGCCTCTTCCTCAGGGACGTCAGTGAGCGGCACAGAGCTGGACCAGATCCTCTGCACCTCCCTCAGCTCGCTCTCCCTCTCGTCCTGCTCTTCCATACTCTCTGGGTATCCCAGCAGCACATGAGGGCTGAGGAAGTCCTGCTCCTGCTTCTGCATCACCTCCAGGCAGTCCTGGATATCCTCCCAGCTCCCTTCCACCAGCGTGTCCTTACACAAAAACTGCCCGGTGGTTTTGTCGATGAACAAGGAGTAGCTGTCTTTCCTGTCGGACGGATTGATAAAGAAGCTCTGGATGTGGAGGCAGCTGTGGCCATCGTGGAAAGGAATTTCTTTAGAGCGCAGGTACTGTTTTATGTCTGTGATAGTGACATGAGTTGTAGGAATATCTAAAGTAGACTTGGCATCATTTTTATAAGCCCTGGTTCCACTGTGTGCCAGGAAGTAGCCTTTATCAAGAAGCTGTGGAGGCCTATGAAGGAGTCTCTGGGTAAGAAGTCTCACACAGGAAAAGGGTGGGAAGGGTCTTTGGTGCAGACATCTTGGGGCTGCCACCTGCAAGAGACAGGTGGTGCCCCTCAGCAGCAAGTTCCTCCACATTAGTTATCTGGAAACGACATTAAACCTGCACAAAGAGACATACAGGTTCATTAACTTACAGCAAAGCTACAACAGAGGTATGTTTGGATGACCTATGCTAGTGTAAGTCACAGAGAGCAAAGACAGCGAGGAAGAAAACCGTTATTTTTGATTAAACAAACACTAGCTATGAAGGACAATTAGCATGAATGTGCATGAAAGCATCCACTAGAAATACATATCGTTTTAATTAAAAAACAAAGACATAACATTGACTTACTGGCTCTGTCGTCTGCCCTACTTTTCCTCCATGCTTTTCCAAACCCCGGGCTTTTCGGTACGCTTTCAAAACAAGTCCGTGTGAAACATACGCCGAAGTGCACCGAATGCGTTTATATATTTATGTTAAATGTGAATTCCTACAAAAAATAAATATGGAATTATAAAAAGTGTCTGTTTCATAATATGAATCCAACATTTTACATTTCTTTCAAAATAAGTATTATTATTAAGTTCTACCGCGCTCGTGTCATTGAAGTGTTTCACTCCGGTACATATCATCGACGGACCGGAATACATGCATGCCCGTCAAGTCGTCCTCTGTGAATGTTATTTCTAGCTAGCATATTTTTGTCTCTAGCGTTTTTTTTTAAAACAAATGTTTAATTGAAATATATGCGCTAATTGTGTGCTAAACGATGACATCCAGAGGCACACCGAGTCGCTTCCTGCAGAGTGTTCTTCAGAACGGAGTGGGTCGCTATGTCTGCCAGCTCAAACGACTCTCCATCATCTTCTCCAAAAATGCACAGAGCTCACTGGGAGTCAGGTAAAATATATGTTACATACATTACTTTAGAACCTCTTTCTCAAAGTTACAAATGTTAGTAGTTTTTTGTAAATAAATCAGATATTCTTTGGTTAACTTAGCACGAGTAATTAAACACCGGAAATTGACTGTATGTTTACAACCAATAGGCCTACAAACAAAGCACTATCAGTAGGATAAGCACAGCATTAAAAACGTTTCCCCTTCTTTTTCAGGGGGTTCATTGAAGAGGGGGTGGTGGATTATGCCAAATACAACCCTTCAACTGTCGTGTATGTGTCTCCTCAGTCCTGCAGGATACCCAAAATAGTTGCAGAATACCGTAAGTGCTCAGGACTGTGTTTTGATGTGACATCTGACTAATCCTGAATTTCTTTCCTCACTTAAGCACATGTTTTTAATAAATAGATCAAATAATAATAATAATAATAATGCTTTATTGTAGTGATTTCCAGGGAAATATATTTTAAAGAATTGCATAAATCTTGGAAATATGGACAAATATACTTGTGTGTACACTCTCCCGATGTTAAAAAAGTTCCCACATTTAGGAAAAAGAGAGGAAATACATCCGCATGTGTCCTGTGTAATGTGTTGTCTTCTGTAAATCCAACTGCTGTCCCTAAAGAAACTACCTAATACTACTTTGGTGATGCTAAACTACTATATTGCTACTTTAAATCAAAAGCATGAAAACAGGTGCTGGGCTTACCAGGTTAACAGTTAAAAGTGAACAACAGTTAATAATGTGTGTTACTACTCTTAGTTAAAATCAAATCAAGTTTTATTTATATAGCACATTTATAAACGATTTTTGGTGGAGCCAAAGTGCTGTACATATAATAAAAATAGCCTACAGTAGAGACACTTTACAGCAAATACAACAGCACAGATTGTTCAGAATATCAGTATGAGAAACAAAAAAACGACACCCTCTATCCTTAGACCCTCACATCGTACAAGGAAAAACTTCCAGAGAAAACCCACAGTTTAAGGGGGAAAAATGGGAGAAACTAGTTACTGTAGGGGGCAGTATAACACTGTTTTTTCTGAGACCTATATTTAGCTAGAAGTAACAATCCACTGGGAGTTTCACCCAGATGTATTGGTTCTTTGTGACACTGTTAAGTTTTGCAATAAGAAAAGTATGTACTATTAAAAGTCACTTGTACTTTATTCTTTTCCCTCAGTAAACGGCAACGTGAGGGAAGAAATTGTCACAAGCAAAACGTCGATACAGATCTCTGAGGTTTTGACCAAGCTGACCAATCAGTCCGGCCTGGACATCATCCGCATCCGAAAGCCCTTCCACACTGACAACCCCAGCATCCAGGGCCAGTGGCACCCCTTCACTAACCGGCCCCCGTGCATCGGCCCCATCAGACCTCAGAAACAAGATGCTGAACAAGCACTATCCAATATTTAAAGTCAAAATGAATGCTAAATTCTAGTTTACTGTAGAAAGATACATCATTTTTTGAAGCTGTTCAAGTGATCAATATGTTGATATGTTGGATATTTCTGCAGAAGACCTCGCTCTGGACTGGGTATTTTTCACCATGCCCTTTTGTCTGTTGGTGGCAGCAATTCTGTGCAGAGCTGTGCCGTTATTACCAGCTCTAAATGCCACATTTGAATAGAGGTTACATGAATCCTCCAGAGGCTTGTCAGCAGGCATATTAAAAAAGCAGATAGCTGTTTTTTTAAACCCAAGGTTATTTGAAGATTCATTGTAGTAAAGTGCAGCGCTTCAGAGCAGATGAAACTTTGTATGAAATAAATCTTTTTTAAAAATGGTTCAGTTGCTGGGCATTGGTGTTTAAATTTAGATTTTCTTCTGAGTTATATTTTCACAGCATGTCAGAAGATCAGCAGAGCAACACTGATGTGCCGTCTGCTTCATTAGCTTTGACTGATTTAACTGCACTGATAATACTTCACAGACAAGACACATGGCAGAGGAACACCTTTCTTTATTTCCATGACACCAGGGAATGTACATGTTTTAGATACTGAGAAGGTTTGATGGTTTCCTTAATGCACAACAAATCCCTAAATTAAGATGACAGAAAGCTGTGTGATAGCTTGAGGGAAATGTTTTAAAGGGGAGGGGCCCATGTATGCTAGTTTTCAGGTTTCATAATTGTATGTTATGCCTCTACTGTGACATAGCTTTAATATTCAGAAAGAACTTTATTTGTCTCATACTGCCTGTGCTGCAGCACCTCTTTTCACCCTCTGTCGAAAACAAGAGCCCAGTCTGCTCTGATTGGTTAGCTGGCTGTCTGTTGCGATTGGTCTACTGCTTAGAGATGTCCCGCCCCTTGGCCTATCATGTACAGTGTGTACTATGTTGCGGAAGTAAATGAAGGACTATATGGAGGCAGAGGAGGAGTGTGGGAGAGAAACTTAGCCTTTGCAGAACATTAATTATGCACAAAAACCTATATAACACAATACAGGAAAGGCAACACCAAAAAAGTCAAATAGGGCTACCTTCAGCAGCGCAGAGCTGTCCTGAAAACTCCTGCAGCGGGTGATTTGTTCTTTCTTTTCATCATCTTAGACTGAAACATGCCGGCTTTCCCTTTTATTCCCTAACAAATAACCTCAATGTAGTTCTCAACAAAAATACGCCCAAACAGTCCTCCCATGAATACAAATAGGCGTGAAAGGTGCCTCCAGGACAGATTGCTCGTTGCTGTTGATTGATTGATACTATTCTGCTGGCATACATAGTTCTGGCCACTAGGAAATGGTTTGGGTATATCTGAGAGAATGCATGTAGAATAGGAGCGTGAGGTGACTGCAGAGGATGGTGATCAGTGAGAGACAGTGGAGCAGAGCTCTGCAGTGGCATACTTCTGCTGATTTCACTCATTTTCTTCCAAATAACTATACTTGAGGATCATTGTTTATAAGAATGTGGATGCCATGTCCAACTGAATTACCCTCAGCCATAAAGACTGCAGTTCCTGATGTGATAGTTGTACTGCAAATACAGCTGGTGACATTTTAATGATCTTTGAATGAAATCATGATTGTGTGAAAATGCAAATTTCCTGCATTTTTATTTATATATGCCACAAATTACAGATATCAGGGCCAGTACACTCCCATCACACCCGCGCTACCCAATGAAAACTGGCAAAGCTAGACCCACGCTAGGACATTGAAAACTCTAAATTAAGATGCTGTTGCTAAGTTACTGCCTTGCTCTGAAATATGGTCATTTTATCCCCCCTCTGAGCTTATGTTATACCTCTGCTCTGTCAGAGTCATATATGTAAATGGCTGTGGGCTCCATTCCCAGTGGAGTTCCCAGTGGCCTTGTCGCTTGCCACAAGCTAAAAACAACCGAGTGTTGTGGCGTCTGGAGAGTTGGACTCAGTTTGAGCATGTTTTGCAAGTCATTTCCTGCCTTCCCCTCAAGGCTCTTGACGCTGACTTTTTTGTTTCCCCCCAAGATGAGGATAAGTGTTATTTAATCTGCACAGAGGCAAATTGAAATGTAATGAACTTCAATAAATAAGACATGAGACACAACATAAAAGGTCTGCAACAACGTAGGTGGTTAAATCGTACAGGAAGCCAGTTCTATTCTGAGAAAAGCACATAGATAAGGTCATTATCAACAAAAGAAATCATACAGAAAAAACTTGATGGAAAGTGTATGGGAGAGGATTAGGGCCACTTTTTTTCAAGATCTGACAAAAGTTTCTTTTAATTTTGTTGTGAGATTAAAGTCACAATTCTGAGAAAAATACAGAAATCTGACTTTAATCTAAAAAAAAGTGTTTCATCCTCTTCCATCAAATTGTCACAGTTTACAAGAGTATATGACGTTTAAAAAAGTACTAACAGTGCAAAAGGAACTACTGTCTTTGGCCGACACCTAAAAAATAATCTACATAAAATATACTGTATCTTGCATATTGACGCAGCGGGATGTTTGCTTCAATCTGGATTTGTGTACATAGACAAGGTGAATGTAATGCAATATGTTTTTAAAGTCCATAGAAAACAGGGCAGAGACAGTTTATTTTGTTAACAGATTGTCCTTAAATGAGAATGAAGCAGCAGCAAAGGTCGCAGATTCAGACAAAGCTTTCAACATAAGGGACCTTGATAATGGAAGCCTTTATATAATACATGTGCAGGTACCGTATAGTAACATGTTGAACTCAGGAGAAAACTGCAATCATTTTTACATATCTTGAATTTGCAATTAAATGTAACCCAACAAAAACATTTCTTCACATCTTTGATTTAAATAAAATAAATAAAATTAGCATGGATCAGAAAATATGCACAATCCTAGTCAACCTCTCTGAAAAAATGGAGAGTAGCATGTTGAACTAGTGCAGAAAACCAACTTGTTTCACAAACACAAACTCTAGGGCTATTTAAAAACGAGTTCTAATGGATTGGGGGCCACAATGGCATTTGTAAATTCAGCAGGGTCCTTGAGAGAGTGTGAATGTGAGCAGATAGAGCAATAGATAATACTGTCATGAGAACTGATGAGACGGGAAGGAACAACAGAGAGGGAGAGGGGGGAGGAATGAGGATGAAAATCAAGTGAAATGGGTAAAAAGGCTGATAAAAAACATGCAAAGTGCAAATGAGTATGGTCATCTATTTTCTGCATGGCTGATTAGGACACACAGGTGAGGTTGTATCATACGGAGAAACACATCCAAGGAGAGCTTCATGGCTGAGGTCTGAGAACGTTTGGATTTATAGTTAACTGACAATAGTTCACTCTTTTTTTACATTGTTGGAGAAGCCTGTGACCTAAGATTTTCAACGACATAATTACTCTGTAGCTATGTTAGCTTGACAATAAAGAACCTTGAACCTCTTTCTTAAGTTGTATTTATAGCCACATATATGAGAAGTAGTCCAATACATATGCTATTTGTTTAGTGTGATCTGAAATGTGTGACAGTAGATCATGGTTTTGTCTTCGCACATAGGCATATGGTGAGGAGTATAGACATTGTAGCCAAGTTTGAAGTAAGACCACTTCACCCAATCTGAAGTTTTTGTTGGCATCCAATGAAATGATTTGATCTGGCAGTTTAGTGGTGCTGCGTATGGTCCAAAGGTTTACTATCTGCCTATTTGTCTGGATTCTATATTTCTTGTATGGAAAAAGCAAAACGCTAACATTTTATATAGTTGTAATTTCCTAAAGAGACAAGCCTATACACAGCATATAACTACTGAGACAGAGACTTCGCATAAGGTCACAGAGATAGCCAGATACAAAATAATCAGTAGAAGGGGTTTAAAGGTTCAATTTGCTACCAACGAACAAGAATATGTGTCTCCATGTTTAAAGGTGAATGGCCAGAAATCCTGCTTTCATATAGTGGACCAGGCCATGAATAATACACCTTTCTTTGACCAATCTATCCCCAACAATATTCATGTCTCAAACAAAACAAAGCAAGCACTTTGTTTAATGATATCAAACAGATTTCCTTCAATCCGGGCGAAGACATTTATCAGTCTGCGTATAGGGCACTCCCTGAACCATATTCTCAAAATAAAGTGGCTTACAAGGCAGACAAGAGGACAACTACTGTAAAAACCTGCGAGAGCAAAATAGCTGCTGCCTCCTTGTATCATCGTCTGTTTCCTGCATGGCTAACCAGGACACTCAGGTCAAATGTTTCCTGTCTGCTTCTGACTTGTGAGAGGACAGCACTGCAAACAGACAAAAAGCCTGTGTCCTCTCCTGGTGGAGGGGAGCCAAGTCTCGCTGTTCCTGTCAGCCCGCTCTGACAGACGCTCGCTGAGAGTCCCCTTCGAGGGCTGCTGCTGAGCCACCGCTACGAGAGCTGATTCAACACTTTGCTGGGTAAGACAGATCTTTATTTACCCCTCACCGTGACACGTTCACAAACTACTTAGAGATTCATTTCAGTCTGTCTAAGTTATACCTACTATTTAATCATAGTTCACCTTGCCAAGAAAATACTGTACGGTCTGCGGTTCTTGCTGTTTTGGCCTTGCTCTGATGTCAGGTAAACATAGAGGATGTCTTTGTGTGAAGGTCTTCTCTGGATTGACAAATGGCCCCTTGCAGGCTCTTCACAGATAGGGGACCATTTAAGAAGTCGATGGAAACCAATTTGACTCTTTGTAGCATCACCAAGAGCTTTTGTCTGTGTCTGAAAATAATGGGATGACGTCTCAAGAGAAAGCCGCATCTTCGAGGTGTAATGAAGGATCATCCAAAAACAAGGCAACAGTCTGACCATGACAAAGAGATAATGTTGGAGCTGTATAAATAGAAAGCTGCATATTTCCTTTACAGCCATTTGTGTTCAGTGTGGTTTCCCCAATGGGCCCCGGAGCCAGCCTGTGGTCTTAAGTGAACTCAATCAATCTGACCACAAACAGACTTCTCCTTTAATAGACCACTTAAGCTGTGTCTCTTGTTCTAACATTGATGCTAACAGAAGCTTTGCTACAGGTTTTCCTATTAACACACCAAAGAGCTACTAACTGCTGCAGCAATCTACTTGAGAGCAGAAGAAAATTAAGAAAGAATAGTTTTAAATAACTTCAAATGTAAGATTTGTCTCACCACCTGAGCCCTTGTGAACTGTAACAGCTTCTTAAAGTGATACTCCACACAACATCTATCTTTTGAGTATCAAACAGGCTTCCCCTGTGGGCTTGAAGGGTGATTGTAATATGTAGTATGCAAAGAATGAGCTTCTCAAAGTGGAGCATTTGCTAATTTTCTCTCTTTAATATCTTCATATGAGATATTTTGGGGTTAACAAATGTTTGTCAACAATCCCAAGAAGGCACACTTGACTCTGGTAAGATGTGACGAGCATTTGAAACTCTTTTATGACATTTTTTGGGGAAAATAATCAGCAGATGTTTCGATAATTGCTTAAAATTGATTCCTATTTGGAAATGTTTTCCCTTTTAAAAATCATGAAACTTCTTAAATCATTCTGGTGCCAACTTTATACAGTTTGGATGATTTCATTTGAACATTTTGAATGGTCCTTCAATGTAGTATATTAGTTCACTTGCTCAAACATCACACACAGGGGTTTGGGGGTGATGTGTCCTTATTATCCACTGCTGAGACACACCTGGAGGTGGCCAATGGCAGCTAATGAATCCCAATAGGATGCACTCTTTGCTCATTAAAGCACTGTGACCTTCTAACAACTGTCCATAACTCACGAAAGGCTCTGAGGTGGAAAGCACATCAGGTGAAAGGTAGAATGATTTAACAATGCACAAAAGGTAGATTTTTGGTGGAGTATCACTTTAAGTTCCATAGAAGGCTTACATTACATGGCACTAAAAACCCTGAACACTTCCACAGTCTCATATATCTGCGGTCCCCTCTTGGCCTGACTTATTTTCGTGTCCTAGTTTGTGTCTTCTACATCACACATGTATGACCCCGATCTTTCACAAGCCTCCAGAAAGTCTCAGCAGAGGAAGCATTAAGCTCCCTTCTTCCTCGTACTTCTGTAACAGCGCAGTCTTTGACCAAAATCTTCACAGCTCCACTTTTTGAATATTAACGTCTGGTTAGTGTAGTCCGTTGTTGAAGTGAAATCCTGGGTCATTTGCCATGGGAGACAAGGGGCGCCTGCGCATTTCAGATCAGGCGAGGTACTCTGACACTGGGTAAATAACAGCAGCGTTTGATACGACAGTCAGTTCTCCCCACCACTACGGGTCACCGTTGGGGTATAAAATAAATAACTTTGGGACTGAGCCTGAGAGGGGGCGTCCTAGATGGAGCTCTCGTCCGGCTGCAGGTCCAGCTGTGTGTGTTTCCTCTGCTCCAGGATCTTGTTGAGCTCCTCTGTGAAGGAGTGGTAGAGCGGCGACATGCCCTCGGTGTCGGCCTGCCTCAGAAGAACGTAGCTGTTCCCGTTCATCTTCCGCAGCACGCTGGGCAGAGTGGCCGACATCCCGTTGGCGTAATCAATGTTGGGTAATGGAGGTGGCATGGGCAGAGGAGGGGCAGGGGGAGGCGTTTTGCAGGGGGAGAACTGGCCCTCCCCTGGAACAATCTGCAGGAATCCATCACCAATGTCCCCAAATGTTGTCATCGAGATTGAGCGACGACCCTGGCGGCCGTTACAGTGGCCCGTGATGGTTTTAAGCTCCAGATGCGAGCTCCTCTTCCTCTCAGAGGCCCCCAGGACGTGCAGCTCCTGCTGGGAGAACTTTCGGTCCCGCCGGGCCCTTCTGGTGCAGAAGCTCACATAAAGAAGCACCACAGTCAACACCAAGCAGAGCCCCCCGAGGACCGCCACCAGGGAGATGTACATGGCCTCCATGTGTCTGTAGGTCTGGAACTCGGCCCCCGGAGGCAGTGGGGCGGGGGGGGAGGGCAGGGGCTGCTCTGTGGGGCTGCTGGTGGAGAAAACAGTCGGGCTGGAAACTGTGGTGGGGGAAGTCATGGATTCAGGCTCCACGGGGAAGTAGGAGTCCGTGTGTACCCTGACTGTATAGAGATACACCAGGACTGAGACGGAGTTCTCCACAGCAAAGCAGCGATAAGACCCACTCTGCTGGGAACGAGCTCCGATTATGAGGAGGCCATCTGTGCCGATGCGGTAGCCCGAATTCAGGCCGTATCCCTGGAGCTCTTTGCCGTTCAGCGTCCAGCGTGGAGTTGCCAGGTTGGAGCGCAATTCACACTGGAGGAGCACGTCGTCACCAGACATCACAGAACGCCTCCGATGGACTACTGAGGGACAGAAGGAGAAGAAAAAACACTTTAAGTTGGAGCAAAAAAGTAAAGAGATAAGTAGGAGAATGCTAGATAAAGGGAGGAGGATTCGAAACAGCATGACAGAAGTGCAGCAGGACAGAGAGATGAATATAGAAGAAGATGTCAGGTCACAAAGGTGAGCAGCCACCGCGGCTCAACCTCTCAACATCACTATCTTGTCACTTTTCATTAGCCGCTTTGAATGTAGCGAGCCCTGCAATGCAGCCAGCAAGACCGCCTGACCTCCAGCAAGAGAGGAACTGATTAAAATGTGTACCTGGGGGGGGATGAGTAGGGAGGGGACACCTAATGAAATCCCTTAATAGCAGCTACATTCATAAATTCCAGGCAGGGAAAAGAAGAGTTTCAACTCATAATCCCTCTGTGACAGTCGAGCACACTAATCAAGACAAATGGGTGTGGAGGTAATATAAAACGTTCTCAAAATGTAAAAGTTGCTTAATGGAGTTTGTGCACGTGTGTGTGTGTGTGTGTGTGTGTGTGTGTGTGTGTGTGTGTGTGTGTGTGTGTGTGTGTGTGTGTGTGTGTGTGTGTGTGTGTGTGTGTGTGTGTGTGTGTGTGTGTGTGTGTGTGTGTGTGTGTGTGTGTGTGTGTTGTTACCATTTCCTGAATTCTCCTTGCAACCCCTGATCCCCTTTGAAATATCCTGGGTTAGGTTCGACCTGAAATAAAGTCATTTCAAATTCAGTTAAAACATTTGAATGTAATCTTTCTTTAACAAGGAAACACTCAGAAATTATTATTTCAGATTAACAATAATCTGATAATTATCAGAAAAACAACATGATATGCAGAAATCACTTAGCAATATAAGAGAGAAATAACATGTGATATAAGACACTTCATCCTTGAAACCATCTAGTAGCTTTCTAAAACCATTATAAAAAACCAGGACGCATTGACACTACAACTTAATGAGGCCAGCACGACAATCACGGTTTGAAAAAATACCCCAAATCACCTGCAGCCAGAACAGAGAGCACCTTGTTTCTGCAGCAATTGACATCCTATTTTAGATCTGACTGCAGAAGGTTTAAGGCAGAGAGCCTCATGTACATATATCACTTTTTTACTCGATTCAAGGCAGAGTAGCAGGAGTACAAATCTCCCTCTGTCTACATCAGTATATTCCAACAACCCCCATGAATAAAGACTGTGGACATGGTGCAGTATTAACCAGGTAAGTGTAAGGTTTCTCCCATTTCCGTTCCATTCTTATTGCAGCTTTCTCCGAACGTGATGCCCCCCCTCCCAGAGAAATGCACAGGAGAGGCTGATGTGTCTGCTGCAGTAATGAAGATAAAGATGTCTGCTACTCACTCATGCAGCGTGAATGAAGAGAGCAAGAAAGCGTGAGAGTGAGCCAAAGTCATGTTTATATATTTGTGTGTGTGGGTTTATTATAATATGCACTAGTTCTCCTATGTATCTCCAGCTGAATCACCCCACAACTAAACAACATTTCTATCTAAAGTGTTGGATGTTTTATGTTGGCAATATGTACACGTAAACTAGTACATTTACTCGATAAAGTACACTAAAGTAGGGCTGCTCAAATTATTTTAATTGCAATTACAATTTTGGATTGCAACGATTATGAAAACAACATAATCTAAATAAAACGATTATTTATTGATTTTTTAAATTGATTTTTGTATTGATTTTTCAGTTGAATTATACTGAAAGTTCAGGGTAATCAACTGTTAAAAACATACTGTTAAAAAAATGTTTTTCCAATAAATGGATGTTTTCAAAGTAAATGGAAAATAGTTTTTATTAAATTATTGACCCAAATAATCGAGATTATGATTTTTGCCATAACCGAGTAGCCTTACACTAAAGTATACATTTAAAGGGGCCCTATTCTGCTCATTTTCAGATTCATAATTGTATATTGTGCCTCTACTGTGACATGGTTAATTGCTTTAATGTTCAAAAAGCTCTTTATTTTTCTCATACTGCCTGTGCTGCAGCACCTCTTTTCACCCTCTGTCTGAAACCAGAGCCCAGTCTGCTCTGATTGGTTAGCTGGCCGGCTCTGTTGTGATTGGTCAGCGGCTTAGTCTTTTATGTTGCACTAGAAATGGATATTTGACATATAAAACGTGATAAACAAGTGAAATATGATGCATTGTTATAGATAAAACGACCTAAAATAGTAAATAATACATTTCTTAAAAAAAGCCAAATTTAAAGTTATTGTCTATTAATTTATAATTTAATGGGAATTGTAATCTTTAAAATATGGGTGTACTGTTTCTAAATAGTCAATAGCAATTCAAGTATTCTCAAAATGACTCAAAATGTTTTAAGGGGCTAATTAACCCAAAGTGCAGAAGAAGCTCCCGCTGAGCTGAACCGAGCTGATGAGAGAAATCAAGGTCGACCTCATTGTTTAGACCTGTTTTCATAGAAATTCTGTTTGAAGGGAAAATAAGCCGTATAAATAATTCACAAGACTCCAGTAGTGCTGTCGTGCAGAAGAAAGAAAGTAATGCAAGAATGTAAACAGAGTCCAAATGAGTCATCTCTGTTTGCAGGTCTATTACTCATTCCATTTACACTAATGATGTGTGTAATCATCATTGAACAACTCACTATTGTAGGTCCTTGTTATATTATTCATGTGGAGGTGTTGATACTTATATACACTTTATTTAAAAAATCCCTTTTATTTTTACCTGAAGAATACGGAATACATTTACTCAAATGTAAAAAGCTTATATGGCTGTCATCCAAGTGCAAGCATAGAGAATAAGTGGAGACAATTAATTTAAAACAGGTGGACCTTCAGAGGAGTTTTAGGAAGATATATGACTCAGGATAAATGGGGAAGCAATGCAGACACTCTGTAAGTGCTGCCTTTACACTTCCTATAAAACATTGAGTTATCGTATATACCTGAACAATGTGCATTAGTATTCTTCTCCTGGGAGTTATATAATACTAGGAAAAAGCATTTTATAAAGGGTGAAAACGTAAACTTGAAAGTACCAGGCTTAGTGTGGTTTGTATTGAATGAGATTGATAACACTATAAACACATCATGATCTGTCTTAAAAAGGAGCTTAAAGCAGCAGTTGTAAATCAAATATGTCAAAGCTTGATTACACTAAATGGCTGGGGACTTATAATGCATTTCAATTGTATCAATATTATACCTTTACCTTATGTCTGTGCTTATCATATCTTACTTATTTTAAACCAATGTCTTGACTGATGAAATGAATGTTATGGCACCATTTCGTAGTAGATCAGTTCAGTTTTAATGTACTTGTTTGGTGTTTTTTAGCTTGTAAATGTTGATACATGAACTTTCAGCCATTTTAGATATTTACAATATATTTTAAATAGGTTCTCTTTACGTTTGTGAACAAATGAATTGAATAGACTGTGTTGGCTCTGTGTGTCTGTCTGTGTCCTCTTTGATCCAGAGAAGCAACACCAGAAATGACATTTAAAAAGAAAAGAGGAAATGTGCAGTGGTTAGTGTTCAGCTGTGTGTTCCCTCACCTCTGTGCATGTGAGGATATTTCCACACACACCTTCCTGTCCCAGCCACAGAAGGGATCTCTGGCGAACACACAGTCGTAACAGGAAGTGTATCTCTCACAGGCGGACATTGGTACCTGCACCACTCCGGAGTACGAGCCAACGTAAATACTCCTCTGCAAAACACAAGATGGAGAGATTTTATATTTATGACTTCTAAAGCCTGAAACTAGAAAAATCTACACAAGGATTGTAATGCACTGTTATTAAAAAACCTGATTAATAATCAATCACTGATGAAAATTGCCTTGTGGCTGTAGATAAGCTGCACACCCAAAACATAACTTATATGTGTCGCTTGTATAAATGTATTCAAATATTCTTTAAAGTGCTCTAATGACCCAATCCAATTCATAAATAAAATCCTTGTCAAGGCATTTTTACATTCCAATTATACGTCGTTAATTAATAAGCCAGACCATGATCTATCAAAGGTTTTAATTTGCATCACTTTAGCATAAATAGGCGGTTAATTAAGAACTCTACAAGCATGAATACATACCAGAGCAGAGGATATGACCATGCTCTCTATGGGCTGTGGTTTATCAAACAGCTGAAGCTCCTCTATGATGTGCATCTCTCCACCAATGTCTACAGCTCTGTGGAGCCAGCCGTCATCTGTAAGAGAAGATACAACCTTTTTCTTTCATTGATGCTGTAAATCTGTTTATTTCTCAAAGGAAACACATTGTTTTACTCCAGAATCTATGAATTGGAGATATTCTACAAGATGACTGCTACTAAAAAACGCTAAACACGTCTCATCTGTACTGGAAGAACACCAGTTGATTTTATATTGTCGACTGATAAGACATTTGTGGATCAATATTCAAAATTGGCTACATTTATTTTAAATGTACTCCTTTAAACATTATGTTTATATAGTACAGATTGATCCCAGATAGTTATATTATTTATATATAAATATAATTCATCGGTAACATATTTATACTAAAAGCTCAACCAGGAAGTAATCTGGATCAAATTACTTATATATTGCAAAATACAATGAAAAGCCAATTTGTTGTCAACGATAATAGGATTACATTATATTTTGAAGAGTTGGATAAAAACAAATATTTAACAGCCATGTGTATGGTTCAGTTTAGATGTTTCAGTGCATTAACTTTCTTTTGTCTGTTATCTTATTCTGTTTTTGCCCAAAAAAACAAATGTTAGCCCTCCCATTTCTTGTTGCTTTTGTTCTTTGTATTGTATTTGTTGATTCTCAGTAGTAAAACTCACCGGTTCCCAAAAACAGAACGGTATAAGTGTTCCCATCCAGCGCTGGCTCCTTGTGCACGACTATCTTGACATAGTTGACACTCCTCTTGAACATGAGTGGGCGAACCCCTATTGGATGCACCTGGCTGGCCATGAGTGGGTGCCTTCTGGCGAAAGTGAGGACATTATCTGGCAGGTCCCGAGACGAGTTAATGCCCTGCGACCTGTGAGCGTCTGTTATACACTGTGGAGGGATCAAAGACAGGGGAGTGATCAGAGAAAGAGCTGGACGTTAAATACTTTGATAATAGTAAGAGTCTTTACAGATGAAACTCACAGATCCGGGTCTTGGCTCTGGAACTTTCCCCGTGAACTCCCTCCACTTTGAGTCCTGCACCTCCATGTACGGCCCATCGAAAGCCTTCTGCACATCTGAGAAGGCGTACTGGCAGATAGCAGAGGCTTTGATATTCTTCCTGAGGACATATTCAGAGGACACAGTCAGAATTAATGACTCAATGTGGGACACACACCGAGGGGTTATTATCAAGGGAGAAACTGCCACACAGATCGAATTTCAAACGCATGATGGATCGTAAGGCGAAAATGAGCTGCTCATCTCTGTTTTATGAAAACTGGGGGTGTTGACGTGCTAAAGTTTCACCCTCACATTTTCCACTTGGATTGTATCACTTTGTCTTGAATGGACATGTGAGGGTTCTGTCACTGACAGGTGTGTGATGTTGCTCTTTATCCTCTGTAGCTCATACCATCAGCCACTCCAGAAGGAAATATTTGTTTTGCAGAGATTTCAGCACCGAAATACCCACTCCCTGTGAGTCATGAATAAAGAGCTCCATTTGTGGCTTTGGTGAAAGAAAAGATTTTTAGAACAACATAACAACAGCATGAGTCGTGGAACCAGGTGACCCTTAATCTTAAGCCCTACAGGTGAGATTAGTAATGGGGGGAAAATGTATGCGTCACATTCTTAAGTCCATTGTGTGTGCCCACCTCAGTCTTCAAAAGTATCCAAGTGAGGAAAAAGAGATTGAAGTGAAACCTGAATCTGTCTTTAAAACTGGTGAGCAGTTATAGCTCAGGGGCTTACTCACTGTTTCACGCCTGAGTCTAACGCATAGTGACTACTACTACTCGCAGGTGTGTGAGCCTATTTCCCCCACAACATAGAGTATGGAGAAGGACAAGAAAGAGACAGAGAAAAAAGTGACGGTAAATACTGTTTTCATGCCTCTCAAATGTTCTTTTTTTGGACTGACAAAATAAGACATTGGACATCTGGGATGGATATGTTTCACTAATTCCTGAGATTTTGAAAGACCAAAACAATGAATCAATGACTCTAGAAACTGAAGAACAGATTTGATAATACAAATAAGTGCTCCATCACTGAATGAGGAAATAGACTGGTAGAGGTTGAGCTTGAATATCCACGAAAGGAAGTGTAGTGGTGAACAAAAACCAAAAAAGAGGGAAAATCAACAGGGAAGTAGATTGTGTTACTGTCCTGTTGCAATGCTATCCTTTGCATCTGAATCTCAACAGTTTTATGCAGCATGACTCTGCATAAACACACACTCACTCCGCTGCCAGATATTCCAAAGGCAGCCGTCACGTCAGCTCTGACTGCAGCCTGCTGCTTTTGTTTTGACAGCTCAGGGTTGGAATAAATGATGGTTATCGTTATCTGGTAATATGGGGATTATTTTACGAGTAATTGTTCAATCGGTAGGATGTCAGAAAATAAAGAAAAATATCCAGCGCAGGTTTGTGGAGCCCAAGACACATATGGAAATGACAGGTTTTGTGACATGTCTCCATGCTTTAATGTTCAAAAAGGTCTTTATTTTTCTCATACTGCCTGTGCTGCAGCACCTCTTTTCACCCTCTGTCTAAAACCAGAGCCCAGTCTGCTCTGATTGGTTAGCTGGACGGCTCCGTTGTGATTGGTCAACTGCTAAGAAATGTCCCGCCACCTCACTTACAATGTGTTGGTGTACTAGCCAATAGAAGCGCAAGTGTTACGTAGTGACGTCACTATGTTACTGAAGTAAACAAAGGAGTCTAATGGAGGCGTTTCAGGGAGGGGGGGTGAGAAACTCCCTCTGGAGGGAACCTTTGCAGACTTTTTCTGTCCTAAAATACTTGAATCATTTTACATTCATTCTCACTTGTGATGTCGTCATACTGTTTACTGCACTACATTTGAAATTCTTGTCTAGATTCCAAAGCTTCAAAATATATCAAATTGGCAGGGGACATGTACTGTATATGTTCCCTGGAATGTTCCATTTCCAGAGATGGGACGTTTTTCTTCAGACGGCGGTGTGTTCATTAGTTTTAAGACGTAATGTGGAAACTACATGGAAAATCTGTTGATTGCTCAGATCATTTAAAATAAATGTTGATATCTATTTTGATGTTGGGTTGATGTTCTGACTTGTGAGGGCGTGTGGTTTTCCGCAGTCATATGGATAATTTATCGGCTTATTCCAACACCAAATGCAGCACAAATGCTCTATCTCTGTGTTAATGAAAATAAAAACAGAATTTGTGAATCCAGCCCTTGATTCCTCCCAAAATGTGATGTTCTTCCTTGGCCCAGAATACACCCCTGAAGGCGTTTTTCATGGAAATCAGGCCCATAGGTTTCTCTGTAATCCTATTGACAGACAAACAAACCGAGCCGAAATCTCCTTGGCAGAGGTAAAGCCAGGCCAGTTAGTGTAGAATACAATTATTTAATATTCAAAGCAGAATCCATGTTGTCTCTTACCATTCCAGGCCGAAGACACCATAGAAAATGCTGCTTTGAGCGTCCCGACCCTGCAGGACAAACACACTGCGCAGGATGTTGAGGTGCAGCTCATATTCTGGGACTGAACACACCATTCTGGCCTTAAGGAAAGAGGTCCACTTCCTCTGCAGGGTCCTCTGGCCTCCCCAGTCATTCTGCACACAGAGGAGACAACGTATGGATGAATGGAAGTCAATGAGCTAATATATCTTAGATTACACAAACTCTCATACTCATAAACGCATCAGCAAGCACAAACTTGTGATTGAAAAAACTGTTAAACAATGATATAATTATCTCCCTTAAAGATGGAATCAAATCATTATGTCCACATAACTATAGAAAGGAAGGGAGGAGGAAGTGAGTCTAACGAAACAGGAGCTCACAGTTAGTGCTTACTTTAGCACATTTCCTCTAATTGCATTTCGGTGGCATGGGGAGACAAAGCAGCAAGAAATCTCTCCCTAAAAGAGTAATTTACCATATCTCATTAAGAAGAGAAAATAAAAGAGAGAAACGATTTTTCTCTTTGTGTCTTTCGCAGACGTCTGTCATCCATCAAATCTCTCTGCTCGCCTCGGCCTCCCACACAAAAATAGGTTTAATCGATGTATCTTATAAACAAAAAATGCCACGTTAAGAAATTCTATCCCTAACAACAAAGTTAACGGAAATAGAGGAAAGTGCTGAAGAAAAGAAGAAAAGGCAGGGTAGAGATAAATACCATAAGAGATGTTATAGAGATGTATGCAAGAGCTAAAAGGATGCACTTATAAATCTCAATCAACGTCAATCAAAGTATGGTCAGGGTCATCGGGCTGTGATGACGTAAATACAAGAAAATACGACTCATGAATCCAAGCGTAGCACTGCAAAATACGCCTGTGGGGAAATTAAGCCGAGGCGACATCATGGAAACAGTTTGAGCCTGACATAAAGTCGCTTTCTGAAGATATAGGAGAGAACACATTGTGCAGCCTTTCTCTCTAAGCAGAAGATATAGTAGTAAATAATGACCAAGTGGCATTGATTTCTCCTTTTTTTTCCTGAAAAGACCTTGTTTCTATGTAAGTTACACTCTTCTCTGTGAAAATAGGTCATGATTGCAGAGGGAGTAGATGCAGTCTGGATGGAAAGTGACAAACAGAAGAGGACAACTAGTTATGCAGCTCAAAAATGGCAAGTGTTCAGAGTTTTCAGGCCAGAGGCTACTGCCAGGGACCTTCACTATCTGCGGATCTGCATCAAATCAGTGAGTCTGTCTGCCACAGGGCTGATCTGGGACCAGCTCGTCAGCTGCATGTGCCGCTGTGGCCTAGTTCAGACTGAGAGATTACACTCTCCACCGCTCTGATGAAGAGAGGAGGCGAGGACTCCAGACCTTATTTCTAGAAATGACTTGTTTTGGATGCAGAGAGCAATCATTAAAAGGAAAGATTTCCCAGGAATTCAAGTGTATGAATGTGGAAAAAATAATGAAATCTCCAAATAATAGCTCCACATATCACACTGACAATGGTCATTAATTAAAGGAATAACCCACATATATCAATGACTCATGGGTTACTTTGCATTTCTCGCAAACCTCCATGGGGATCCAAGGATTCAAAAATGGTGAAAAACCTTGATGACTTGAGATAAACCAAGGCCATTTTTCACAACAGCAACAATTTCAATACAGCCATTTACAAACACATGCATAACACTCAAAACTGTATCTCTAGAGGGTAGGAGTAGTTTCATGTTTTTAAATGGCATGATTTCATTGACATTTCATGTGTTTGTGAATTAGTGGATTTTTATTTATTTTTGCTAGTGTTATTGGCATCCCCAATTTACTTAAATTCATCTAAATGTTCTCGGTTTTTCTACTCTTTTTTCACCCTATGGTATTAAAGAAAAAGTATTTTGAAACACTGGATGAGTAATTGATATACAGTTATTTTGTGGGTGAACTATTCTTTTAAGCAGCATAGTTTCTTCCTTAATATTAATTTCAATCCCACTTCCTCTCATTGTGGCTATTTCCCCAAAGCTCATGAATACATTCAGAACCTTAACGTTATAATTTAGTTATGTCTGAATGACAAAAAGCCATCACTTTAAAGAATTCCTGAAGCTAGGTTTCAAATGTATCAAATGGGGTTGTAAATTGAGTGGAAACAGCTCCAAACAGACCTAAATAAAAAAAATATTAGTAATAAATCTTTTTTTTTTTTAAACGTTGGCTTTCTTCTTGTCAGTTTGCATTGATGAGTTTGGACCATTTAACTCTGATTGAATATTAAAAGTTGATTCCTAAGTGCTTACGCAATGTTCAGCTTTCACATTCATTTTTCTTTCCTCCCATGCATCCGAGCAAATCCTTTTCACATTCTCACAAAAGGTGATATACTGTAGGGATTTCAACGTATTCATAATGTCATCTCAACCGCTCAGAATCTTTTAAGACACTTTTTTATGAACCCTTAGAGAAACTGCAACAGTGAATTCAGCACAGCAGCATACTGTGATGGTAATGACAGCACCATGCATGGCCAAAAGAAACGACAGGCAGAAAAAAAGGGGGGAGGAGAAAAGGAGTTGCTGGGCATGTCGTTTCAAATGAAGATGCTGATCGCAAGTGAAATGAGGTGAGAGGGGGGGGGGAAGGGAGGAGGAGGAAGAGGAGTAGAAGAGGAAGAGATGGCATAAAAAGAGAGGGAGATGGTTTGCCATTGGAGGTGGAGGTTGGAGACTTGTAGTTTGCCTGGCAACAGTGGCACAGAAAGAACCACCAACCAAGATAAGAGATACCAAACTGCTGCACGTTCAGCACTAAAATTACAGTGGGAGAAGAAGGGCAACTGCGAGAGAAGAATCTCAAACAGAAAGTCTTCTTAAATTAATTTTACTTCACTTTAATCAGTGATATAAAGCAATAAATAATCCCACCATTTTCAAATACTTGCAACTTTTTCTCCACCCCCATCGTAACCCTTTTATTCCCTGACATTGCAGTCACTATAAATCTGTTAATTTGTGTCTTTTCTTTATTTCACTTTCCAAACCATTAACATGATTATGGTTACTAGTATGTGGGTTAGTTGCTCTCGCTGACCTTGCAGACTCGGGCGACCCTGGACACCATGGTCTGGCTCGGGTAGGCAATCTGCTCCTGGCTTCTCTCCGTGAAGAAAAAGTAAATCTTGTCGTCGTCACCGATAGAGCTGTTAATGCTCTCCTTCAGCAGCACAGATCCCACAAAATCTGCCTCTGTACACACACAAACAAGACACACACACACACACACACACACACACACACACACACACACACACACACACACACACACACACACACACACACACACACACACACACACACACACACACACACACACACACACACACACACACACACACAATGAGATCCACATGTCCAAACACAGACCTATTAGCAGCTGAGGAAGTGTCTCCTTGGAAACCAAAGATGGAGCTTTTAAGTATGATTGAATAGCCACAACTAAGTCAGTTAGAGCTGCAGTGCAGTGCAATTTGTGTGATGTGATTTTCAATCTCCAAGTCCATCAGTTTCTGTATTAACATCAACACATCCACTTGGTACTTTGCTGTAAATGGAATTATATAAACCACCAGAGAATGAAATGTTTTTGCACACACTTAATCATTACTTGATGTTTTTTCAAGGTTTTTCTCCCTTCTATGGCTTTTGTTGTCATATAATGTAATTACCCAGAAGCCATCGAGTTGGGGCCTCCTCAGTCCTGAGCGTAGGGAAGGGGGAGTTTCTGCGCACATCTGGAGAGCTTCGAAACTCATACTGAGAGGCTGTGAACATCTCACCGTCTGAAGAAGGATGAAAGACAAAAGAAAATTGCCATGAAATTTGGTTCAGAATGGGATGTTCCTCGGCAAAATGAACTGTAAAACTGTGTTGATCCTCTAACTTTTTACCTAGCGCCGTCATCAGCTCAAAACTTTAGTTTGCCTAACACTTATAAATCACTTTTTCATACTTACTTCATGAACAAATACATGCAAAAATATGTTCAGCCTCAGTTGTGCTTTAGTGCTAATTAGCACATTTTAGCATGCTTACGTGCTAAATTAAAGCTATATCTACTAAACATCTCCATGTTAAAATTGTCATTGTAAGCATGTTAGCGTCTAAAGCTAGTCCTGCCCTTGACTTAGCCCCTCTGGATATACCATGACCTCGATGACGAAGACTCTTGACAGACTCATAGCGGGATGACGTATTTCGCATAGCCTCGCAGAGTAGGCCTAGCTAGCAAATCTGCAGGCTATTGTTTTAGCTGGAATCAAGCATGGTGCCCTGTTTTTGCCAGCAAATGTTCCCCTTAGCTGCATGCTTCTATGACTACACCAATATGCTGTGTATGAAACAAATTCAATTTGGAATGGCGGCTCATTTATTGGTACAAGAAGAATATCTATTCAAGATATAATAGCACCCAGGAAGAAAGCTCTAGCATACACTGACTGTATCAGGTATTGAGACTAATGTTTAACAAATGGAGAAAAATACTAAGTTGATCAATTATTGCAATAGTGGGAAAAATGTATTGTGTTGGACTTCATTAAATGATAACTGATTTGTTACGGTATACTGTCAGATTTTCCATCAATATTGCATTTGTATGTTGTATGAATGTATAGTGTAAACAGTTTTACTATGTATTTGTGTATTTCTACTGTATTCTTCTTTCTTTTTTTATAAAATCATGAAAAAAAAGGGCACATTTGGAATACACACCTACAATAAGGCCCGTGTACCCCTTTGCTGGGTCATATGGACACCTTTCTCTGCCCTCCTCAAAGCCAGAGGTGAAGTTGAACCGCTCTGCATCCTTACAGAGAGAAAAAAGACAATGAATCATTTCAATTTAAGTGTAGTCGTAAGGGAACTATTATGAAACAACACAAGCTCTTACCATGTAAGCGCAAAGAGGTCTGAAGGCATTTGTTCCACAGACATACAGGTGAGTCTCATTGAATCTCTGCAGGAAGCGGATGTGATTGTAGCACTCTGTCTGCAGAGAACAGAGGAAAATAGGTTATTTCTGTCTCAACAATTGGCGAGAGCTACAGAAAGCATAGGCCAGTCAATCCACTTCATGTACAGGGGCTATTTTATGCAAACATTCAATGAACGAGTGGGATTTTGTATTCTCAGGAGAAATGTAATAAGAAGCACTTGAAAGGATTATCAACTTTTCTGCCTTAAGAAGCAATCTACACATTAAAAAGCAGAAATGTTCTACAATGATAACCCAGTAAATAAAGAGTTTTCTTAAAACAAAGAGGGACTGAATAATAATACAATACAATACACTTGATATGAAGCTACCTGATTGTCTCTGCCTTTGTTTAGACACTGTTTCTTCTGTTCAGGGGAAGCATTCCAATCAATCTGCAGACAACAGGGAGGGGGCATAATAAGAATGACTCAGATCAATAAATAGAGATGGAAACATACATAGATAAATAGAAAGATTTATAGACAGAACAGTGGGGAGATGAAGCAGAACAAATGTGTATGTGTGGCAAACAGGAAGAGAGGGAAAAGACAGCTCACTTTATTTTCTGTCTTCATGTTCAGTAACCCTTGAATAAACGCCTGGTGCATTTAATGCCATATCCATAAAATTGGACGTACACAATGGGATTTGCTCAATCTGCTTAAGGCTATTATTAGTTTGTCCTCTTTTAGCACTCAAGAAATGAAAATAAATGTGTGAAACTGGGTGTTTGCTGTTTCTTTGTGGCAATTAACATGCTGATCTGTGGCACTCACCGTGAGGTTTGAAGGGGTGGAGATGTTGGAGGTGTTGAGCGCGTGCAGAGCTCCTCTGCCTCCCACGTACAGCAGCCCGGTCTCCTCCTCCAGCAGGAGCGTGCTGTAGTTCTGGGAAGAGCCGTTGAACCTAGCACTGCCTAACAGACCTGCAAGTATACGACACACAGTTGTTGGCCTATAGAAAGTCTGAAAACCGTCAACAATGTCAAACGGTGATGTTTCCCAAAGCCTGATGCCTCAAATGCTCTTCTTTCCACAACTAGCAAATAAACCAGTAAACATTTACAATAGATGTATTCACATATAAGAGTTATTACTTGTTTTACTTAGCAAATAACATAACCCAATTAATGTATTAATGTTTACAGGTCTAAAAATCACAACAACTTTATGGAAGCGCAATGCTAATTTGTGGGGGTATTCAATTAGGATATACGTTAGCTTATTCTATGCTACTTATTGAGGCAAGATTCTAGTCAATCTTGTATTTTCAAACCTTAATCATTGATACATTTGAGAATGTAGATAACAAAGAGTACACTTTTGGTATAATTATCCTCCAGAATCAAACATTTCCAAACGACCTCCAGTCCTATGGAGGGTCACGACACAATGTGAGCATGCTTAGCGTGACTGCCAAAGGGTGAGGTTTGACAGTGTGTCTTAGAGATGGGGGGGGTCACTGGATACTCGCTAAGAGGACTGTGGAGAGTGTGGGGATGGGGGCGCAGGGGAGGCCACATTTTAGGGCATTCAGAAGGAATTGTGCCCCAGTAATGCCAAACAGCATCAGTCATTCTGCCATCATCAGTTGTGTGTGTGTGTGTGTGTGTGTGTGTGGTGTGTGTGTGTGTGTGTGTGTGTGTGTGTGTGTGTGTGTGTGTGTGTGTGTGTGTGTGTGTGTGTGTGTGTGTATGTGTGTGTGTGCGTGTGTGTGTGTATGTGTATGTGTATGTGTGTGTGTGTGGTGTGTGTGTGTGTGTGTGTGTGTGTGTGTGTGTGTGTGTGTGTGTGTGTGTGTGTGTGTGTGTGTGTGTGTTGTGTGTGTGTGTGTGTGTGCGTGTGTGTGTTGTGTGTGTGAATGAGGACAGAGGAAGGGGCAGACAAACATAATAATATTAATATCATTAATATACTTGGTCCTGGTGCACTAAACTAAATATTTGAACACACTTTGGTGTTGCACTTCCGAAATTGGGGCAGGTCGCTCTGTTGCTGTGACACAATAAAAAAGGAGGGCATTGTTTTTTCTTCCTCTGTGTAGAAGTAGGCTAACAGAGCTTTGATATGGAACAGAAAACCACACGTGCAGAAAGAACAACAGTAAAATGAAGGTTTGGACAGTGTTACACTGAGGAATATGAGTCAGCAGCGAGCAGATGGGCATATTAATCGCCTCTCTTCCTCTCTCTCCTCCTTTCCCTTCCGTTGTAAGCCGATGGCAGCATGTCTCGGCTCCCAGTAATAAGACAACCTATATCTGTCCCCCAGCAATCGATGTACTGTAGTGTGAGGCACTGCACGCCTGTCGCAGTCAATCTGTCCTCCTGTTCATTGTAATAGAGCGAGAAGGGTGGAGTGCAGCTGGGCAGGCCTGGGGATTACAGCGTAACGGCTGCAAGTGAACAGATGATGAGCCAGCAATGCAAGCTGACATATTGTGTTATTTTATATTGCATGGTTCATTCAGTTCACTTAGACTTATTGAATTTGATCAGGGTCAGTTTAGAGCCAACTGTAAAGGAGTAAAGGGATGCACCTGTCGATTATTTTCTACATTAGTCATTTGGTCTATAAAATGTCAAAGAGTATTCCAAAGTTGTGTTTTTAAATGTCCTGTTTTCTAACTTAAGATCAATGATATTCACTTTAATTATATAAAACAAAGAATAGCATAAAATCCCCCTGTTTGAGAGTCTGAAAGGAGCTTTTTTTGCCCTGTTTGCATGACAAAATACTGTATCGTTTATTCACTTGATGTAATAGTTGGGATTACTTTTCTGTCAATCTTGTAATTAATTAGCCAACTTCGTCTTTGTAATGTTTCTAATTTACTTCATACTATCTTTGTTTGTTGTGCGAATTGTATTTTTGTAAAGCGACTTTAAGTGAAAAGCGCTAAATAAATTCAAAGTATTATTATTAGTAGTAGTATTAGAAGTTGTTGAAAGGAAAGTGAATACACCAAAACAATCATTACAAATGTTTTAAATGATGGGACTCATTTGCCCAAAAGTAAAAAAACTAAAACTCTACAATGCAGCACAATTCAACAGCAGCTCCAAATACATCATACGATTGTTTTGAATGACAAGCAAACTGATGATGATGATGATGTGTGAATTGGTGGAGTTCCTCTTTAAATGAGGAACTAACGAAAAAGTGCTGAGGTGGAATATCACGTTTTACCCATGCACAGACATATTGCAAGGATTGAAAGATCTCCAACTATGGATTGTATAGAAATATTCAATCCATAACAGTCTGGAGGACAACATTAAACTTGAGCCTCTGTTTCCGCCAAAGAAGGATTCAGACATACTTAAAGGCTCATACTGTATTTCTTATCTCCACTTTAGTATTACATACTTTTAATGCTATAATATGAAAGCCAGGAAGGTAATGGGGATGACAGGAAGTGTTGCGGTGTGTTTGATCATGCTTAATTCAATGTAATAAGTGATTACCCGTCATCACATGGGAGGTGGTTATCTCCCCACATGCAGTAAACTGTCACATGGACATGCTGGGTGATGACTGTGAGCGTCCATCCCCTGAAGAAAACCCGGCACAATGAGTCAGATTGAAAGCTCTCGAACTGCCCACTTTCCTTCCTGCCAACTTTTTTTTAACTGGTACTTCTATCTCTGACAAACAGACAACCACATGGAGCCAATAATGAGGTTATTATCAAACCGTCAGACAGAGGGACGAATGACACTGTGCATATTGCTGCTGAAAACCCTTCACCAAGGTGACACCAACAGTGGCTTTTAAGAAAGGAAATCTCCAAAACATTTATTTTGAGTCATTTGTTAAGATACTGCATGCTTCTGCACCTCACTCTGTGAAGAGAAATAGTTTTATCCTGCAGTATTTGTGAAGCCTAAGGGATTTCTGACATGTTTGTCCTCTTTAGTAAAATAATTGACAAACTAATGAAGAGCAACTTTAGGGTTTTATAGTTAAAGTTTGTCTTACTTTTGATTACACTAACAAAGTGAATCAAAAACAATCTTCTGGCGACAAGCATGCAAAGGAGAATTGTGAAAATAAAGTGTTGATAGAGTTTTAATGGTCCTACGGGTGTGATCTTTTGAATTTAAGCTCCACTGTGTAGAGTTGTGTGTGATTACAGCATTTATTTGAAGGATCTATTACAACTTGGTGATCAGACAAGGTGTAAAATAGCAGACAATTTGTGCAAATTGCTTAATTCACTCTATTTGAGGATAAACCACCTGCTGGCTTTACTACACCAGCGTCTAGAAAACTGTATTACCGATAGCTCCATATGAGGAGGCCTAAATGTTATTAAGTATAGTTCAATTCATTTACATATTTGTAATACATTCATCCATATATTTAACATACCATCAAATGTTATGTTTTATGTGAAACACATTTTGTAAGAAAGTAAAGCTTACAAACTAACTACAGCTGTCGTATTGGGGTAAAAGTAAAAACTTCTCTCTGAGATACAAATACTTAAACAATGTACTTAGTAGAGTACTTGAATAAAGGTACTTAGTTACATTGCAGCTCTGCCAAAACTATCCTTTCATTAATTTCATTTCATTTCAAACCTTTATTTATACAGATAAATCCCATTGAGATCATTGATCTCTTTTTCAAGGGAGACCTGCTCAAGTAGTTTCACATGAAACATAAAAACATAAATAGAACAACAAAAGGACATCATACAGCATCATTTACATAATTATCCACATAAACAGGTACCAATAGCTTCCGATTGACTAGCATCCAACCGAGCTTTAAAAACATTTAGTGGCACCAGATTGTTCAGTTTCCATTTAATTTGCAGACTATTCCAAGACAGAGGAGCTGCGCATCTAAAAGCTGTCTTCCCTAAGACAGTCCTAGCAGTTGGCACATTTGATAAAACCACAGCATTCGATCTCAGGCAGTAGCCACTTACAATTTTCCGTGAGATCAGGGAGCAGATATAAGATGGAAGTTTCCGTAACATGGCTTTGTATATAAAAATGTACCAGTGACTGAGCCTCCGTACAGTTAGTGAAGGCAAACCAGCCCTTGCATACAGGGTACAGTGATGGGTTAATGCTTTACAGTTTGTCACAAATCTTAGCGCGCTGTGATACGCAGCATCTAACTTGACCAGGCAATTGGCAGGTGCATTCATATACATCAAATCACCATAGTCCAGCACAGGTAAAAAGGTCACAGTGACTAGCCTTTTCCTGGCTTCAAAAGAGAAACAGGACTTGTTTCTGAAAAGAAACCTAGCCTAACCCTCAGCTTTTTAAGCAGGTTATTGACATGAAGTTTAAAAGTGAGACAATCATCAAGCCAGATACCAAGGTATTTGTAACAGGTAACCACTTTAAGTTTTATTCCTTGCGTAGTTACAATATCTAAAACAGGCTCTGGTGTCTTTTTAGCTTTAGAAAAGAGCATTACCTTGGTTTTCTCAACATTTAAAAGAAGCTTTAGCTCAGAGAGCCGAGTCTGAATAATGTTAAAAACAGCCTGTAATTTAACACCAGCCTCCTGAATGGAGGGACCTGCACAGTACATCACGGTATCGTCCGCATAAAAATGTAAAGTAGCTTCATCCACATTTTCACCTAAACTGTTGATGTAGATGGAGAATAAAAGTGGACCTAAAACAGAACCTTGGGGAACACCATTAGCAATGTTTAACCACTCAGAAGACAGCCCATCAAAGTGAACACATTGGGACCTTTCAGAGAGGTAGTTCACAAACCACCCTACTGCATGGCTGGACATGCCTATACTGGCTAACCTCTGCTTTAAAATGTGATGATCGACGGTGTCAAACGCTTTTGAAAGGTCAATAAATAGAGCTGCACAACTCTGCTTATTATCTAAAATACTCGTAATATCATTTACCACTTTCATTGTGGCAGTGATGGTGCTGTGT